TTAATTTGCCCCCTTGCTTGCCACTGCGCCGCGAGCCCCCGGCCCAGTCGCGGCGTGGGTCTCGGGCAGAGTTGGCTTCGCGGGTCCCCGCCCCCGCCGCGCGGCCGTCCCCGCTGCCTCCCCGGCTCGGGCCCCCAGCCCCGGCCGGAGCCCCGCGGCCCCCGTCCGCCCCCAGCGTGCGCGCGGGCGGCGCCCTCCGTCGTCCCTCCGCCCTCCGTCGCTGTGCCCACCCCCTCGCCGGAGAGAGTGCTGGTTAACTCCTTCCCCAGAGTCTGGTTACCTGCTCCGCGCGGCAGTGGACACGTGCAGAGGTCGGACTGACACTCGCAGTCCCCTCGGGAGGCCCGACGCGACCGGGCCCCTCAGGTGAGGAGCTGTGCACTCGGGTGGGTGGGCTGCCGGGTGGGGGGTCCTGGGGGAGATCTGGAGGCTTGGCCAGGGTCCGACGCAAGGATGTGGGTGGGGGTGAGTGCGTGGGGGGGGTGCTGTGTGTCCTCGGAATCGGCTTTGGTTAACCCCTTACGAACTGAGTTACGGGAGCCAGTTTTGAGGAGCTAGAGGAGTCTTTCTTCGTCTGGCGAGGGGGATATCCCACACTAGGGACACCCCCGACACCGAGATCCTATGCCTACTCCCACCTATCCGTACGCACAAACACGCACACATACACTCCTCATCCAGCTTCTCCAAACGGAACTCGAATTCCACTCGGACACACAGTAATCCACACTTAGGGTTTAAAATGCACTGCCTCCGGGGACTCCATACTGGAGCATGCGTTCCGTGCCCCATATTTATCTCCCCACGAAAGCTCCCTCTCCGGCTCGTTGAGGTGTGGGTGTGGGCTCCACCTTCCCCACCAGGAGATAAATGTTAACGCAGGCGTCCTGCGGCCGTGTTATTGCACAGGAGTGCACGCAGCCGGCCAGTGCCCAGGGTTGGGGCCCCGCGAGGGCGCATGTTTGCTTTAGTTTCCAAGTTTACTTTTGTAATTTAAAATTTCGGAGTTAAGAACGCACGCCTTGCGGTGAACAGCCCCGGGCGCCGCAGCGTGCCCGTCCATGTGCACGTGGGCGCATCTGCGTGTGCGCACACGCGGGAGTCGCGCTCCCCGGTGCGGCCTCTCGTCGCTGCGCTGGTGGCGACCCTTGCGGTGCTTGGCAGGCTTCGGGAGAGGCACATGAAGGATTTCATTGAGTGTGAAGACAGAGAGCAGAGACAGAAAGCAGAAGGAGGCGGCTGCAGCCTTTGTAGTCGCTGAGGAATGCGGAAATGTTGAAGCACTATGTCAAACTTTTTTGAAATGGGGTCAAGGCACATTCAGCCAGCGTGGGAAAGCAACAACAACAACAAAAAAAAGTGGAGGAGAGGGAGGGAAAAGGCATTGCTGCTCCCGTTTCTCTCCGCCGAAGCCGACCGTCCGGGGGGCTGGGGGGAGAGCAGCAGGGCGGGCGGAGCAGGGCCGGGCGGGGGCGGCGGGCGCAGTTCCCTGCGGGGGTGGGACGTCCCCGCCGCTTCCTTCACTGCCGAGCCCAGGGCTGGACTGGGGCGGGCGGGGCAGGGGGGACGCAGGAGGGGCAGGCTGGGCGGCGGGCGGCGGCTCCCCCGCTACCTGTGTGGCCCTCGACCTGGCTCAGACCCCCGGGCGGGCTCTGGGGGCTTTTTCCTCGGCTTTTAAGGAAAGTTCTGAATGGACTGAGTGTGAGAGGCTCTGTCCTCGCGGCAGTCCGCTCCGCCCGCACACCACGGGGGTCGCGCCGTTTGTTGTTTCTTTAATTCCTGGCAGAAGGCGAGCCAGCCAGCGGTTGCGGAGCAGGTAATTCCGAGGTGCCCCGGGAATTCCGGACACGCGGATAGCGTGGCGAACGTCCGGCCGAGGCCGCGGCGGCCGTGGGGGAGGGAGGCTCCCGAAGTCCTGGATCGCAGCTGAAAGGGGAGGGAATGTTAGGGTACCCCCCCTCAGCGCTTTGTTGTGCAGAGGGCTCCGGGCGGCGTCCAGCCGCGTACCGGATCGGGCCCCAAGCCGAATGCGGGGAATGGAGCAGCCACCTCCGCTACCTACATCGGGGACGACCGTGGGATTTGGGGAGGATTCGCGAGTCCCGGCCGCGAGAGCATAGCCCCTTCTCTTGCACCCCTGGAGGCGCAGCATTTGCTCCCCCGCCCCCCATCTTTTTTAAGGGAGGTTGAGTTTTGCTCAGGTTGAAATCAGTTGAAACCTTAGGGGCGAGTCACGGTTATGCCACCTTCCTCCTGAAGCTATTCTTTAAGGACGACAAGCGAAAGTGTGGCGAACACCCCTTTCTCCCACCGTTGGGGAAGTCCCCCCTCCAGGGCCCCTCGCTCGCCCACCCCCGAGTAGCCCCAGCCCTCCCCGACCAGATGGCTTGTCCTCCCTGGGTTTCCACCAGGGAGGTCCTCCAAGTCGGAGGGAGAATTCCGTTTCCAACCGAGACTCCTTTACCCCAAAAAGACCATTTGTGTGTGTGCGAGTCGTTTTAAAATTTCTCCTCGTAGAAAAACTGAAAGTAGAAAGAAAGGAAGCAATTTCCGAGCAGATGTCTGACCACCCCTTCTCGCACACTCCCAGCATCGGGTTACAGGGTCCTGGGAGCCCCCACCCACATTCTGCGGCCCCACACGGGTGGATCCACACACAGTCCCTCCACACCGGCTTGTGCACGACCCCTGAGCGTGCCCCCGGGACCCCGGGACCTCCTCTCCATGCACGTCCAGGCCCCGGGAGGCGGGGAGGGTAGCGGCGTAACACAATGATATAGGGATAAATATTAAGCCGTGACATTGACGTGCCCGGCGCCTCCCCTCCCCCGCGCTCCCGGCACACTCTGGGCTGCTCGGCACGCCCCCTCCCGTTCCACTGCGGCCCGCGCCGCGCGCTCATCCCCGAGGGGCCCCTGCAACCTCTCCGCGAAGACGGCTCCAGCCCTGCAGGGAAAGAAAAGTAATCTCGCTTTTCTCGGAGGAACCAGGAAGGATTAAGCGGCTTGGGAGCGGGCAGGAGCGCGCGGAAGGTAGCGATGGGGGCTTCGTGAAGGAGGAGGAAGGGAGTCTGGAGGAACCCCGAGGAAGGCTTCTGAGGTGTCTGACTGCACTTTCTTCTTGTCCTCCCGTCTTCTCCTTTAGGTGCAATGATTGTGGACTGAGACGCACTCGGGCAGAGACTATGTAATCGCCTCGGTGTCTGTCCTGAGTACTTCGCTTCGGGCAGGAAAGAGGAGGGCTCGCTCCTCCGCCGGCGGCGGCGGCGACTCGGCAGGCGGAGTTTCGCGGCGGCGGCACCAGGGTTGCGCCAGCCCGCGGGGAGGTCGCTCCTTCCAGCCCCGGCGGCCGCGAGAGTCCCAGCGTCGGAGCGCCTGAGCCTGCGAGGGAGAGCGAGAGCGAGCTCCGGGGAGCCCCGGAGGAGGCGAGCGGCGGCCGCGAGCAAGCCGAGCGCACCCCCCACCCACCCCCGCTCGCCCCAGCGGCGCCGCGCCGGGCGGCGTCCAGGAGGCATGGAGAAGGACGGCCTGAGCCGCGCCGACCAGCAGTACGAATGCGTGGCGGAGATCGGAGAGGGCGCCTATGGGAAGGTGTTCAAGGCCCGCGACCTGAAGAACGGAGGCCGTTTCGTGGCGCTGAAGCGCGTGCGGGTGCAGACGGGCGAGGAGGGCATGCCGCTCTCCACCATCCGCGAGGTGGCGGTGCTGAGGCACCTGGAGACCTTCGAGCACCCCAACGTGGTCAGGTGAGCGGGGGAGCGGCGCCCGCGCCGTCGGGGCCCAGTGCCCGGAGAGGCCCGGGCCGCCGAGCCTCAGGCCCGGAAGGTGCGGGGCAGGGGGGCGGCGGGGGCGGCCCGCGGGACCCATTGACCTTACAGAGGGAGAGGAAGTTTTGTCCACAGAGCCGCGAGCCAGAGCCGGTGACCTTGCCAGACGGCGAGCAGAAAGATAAGTCAGAAAACGTGACCTGCGCAGGCTTCCCTGCCACTGTGCAAAAGAGTTTTCTCCCTGCCCACCCTGAAGGGGGGTCCGGGGGAGTCGGGTGCCCTTTAGGGACAGAACGAGCCAACCTGAGACACGCCCCACCAGCCTCCTCATATTTTTTCCCGGCCATTGAGGAATTTTTGAGAGACAGAGTGAGAGGTAGCAGGATGCTGGGATAATAAGTGAGAAGAGAACTCTACGGGTGGAGCCTGGTACAAAATCAGGTTAAATAAATGTAGAGACTTATAAGAATATTTTTGCCAGTCACACTCAACAGTTTCTCTTTATTGAAGTTGCATAATAAGAACGATTCCTGATGGTCTAAGGAGTTTCAGTGCTGATACCCAGTTTCAAAATGTCATTTAAAAAATTTCTTCCAAAACTGTTAACTGTACACCTGTATTACTTTATATCTCTAGGCTGGCATCGTCCTTAGACTAATCTCCAAAGGGTTAGACGTGAGTCCAATATGTGGTATCTTTAGATTCTAAATGTTCTTCTGCCCTTGCTTTTCCTGGACGGTTTGTGTGCTTGAGTGGGAAGACAGCAGTTCTTAAATTCTCTCCTGTGTGATAACCAGTATTAAATAAAAGTGTATGCAACTTAGGATAATGATGTTTTCTTAGTGATCCTGGAATTTCCCCATTGTGTGGTTGTATCATCCTTTTCTTTTTTAAACACAGATGCATAGCTTTAAGAAAAAAAGAAATGCCCGGAAACTTCTACAAACTGGGTTGTCATTTTACCTCTCTCGACATTAAAATGGTTGGAGAAAAGATTTCTTCTTCCTGTCTTCTCATCCATCTAGGGCTTCTGTTCAGCAAATACGTGCCTACTGTGTGCGCTGTGGATGAAATTATGTAAATAAGCACAGCTAAATATTTTTGTAAAAAGTCAAACAATTTAACATTAGTCATCAAAGTGGAGAGACCCAGGACTGACCTTTGAAATACCAAACCCTCTGCAGAATCAAGGAGACCAAGTGTCTACAGAATCTTCCTGGGAGGTTTTAACGTGCCTCTCTTATCCCAGGCTGGTGATTTGTGTGGTGCTTTGTTCCCAACACGATTAGACTCAGGCTAAAAGGCAGCAAAGAATCATAAATATATAAATAAGGTAGTAAATGGCTATAAAGATAGGATTCCATTATACCTCTACTCTAGCCAGTGAAGGAGGCAGGGACAAAAGACGTTGAGATAGAGAATGAGCATTTTGGAAGATGGGATTATATATAAAAGCAATTGATTACCTTTTTTGTGTGTGTGTTTTCTTTGTTAAAAACAACAAAAACTCTTTTGGATGGGGTCTTTGTGATATTAGAGAGAAAACGGGAAGGTGCTTCCCAAAGGATGAATTCCACCACTAGAGTCTTAAGACCAAAGTCCTTGTTTTATTGTGGCTGTTATATATAGAGTGTCCAATTAAGGGAGATTATCATGTATATAAGTAAAATAATGCCCTTCCAACGTAGAGGTGTTACAGAGGCACCACTACTCCTGTGTAACATGGTCATTTACAAAGCATAACCCATTCTTGTAACAGGAAGATTACTTTTGCCAGTAGATTTTGGATGATTTATCCTATTCTTTTGTTTTATCCTGTTGGGATTGGTGTGTCTTTAGATTTCTGGCACATGACTTGGATTGTGTACTGTGAATTTCAGGAGGATATACTTATGAACTGAAGACAAAAGCATCGTTTTCTAAAATTCTTTTTACATGTGAAGTAATGATGATGACACCTACTTCTTAGAGTTGTGGGGATAAAGTGAGATAGTGAAAGCACTTTGCAAATTTAAAAGTACTTTAAATATCTAAGTATTATTTGTATCCAGCAGATTAGTGAGACCCTCTCCCTGGAACAAGTTCCCAGGAAGGCATCAGTTCACCTTTTTTTTATAGAACAAATCATACTCAAACCCAGACATTACAGGCTCTGGAACCAAGAAGTTACTTGAGTATAGTTAGCCTGTAGTTTGTCAGAAAAGACTGTCAGTCATATGCCATGGAATTCAGTGACCCTTGAGGAAATTATTGATGATGTCACCCTCTGGAGCTACAGATCTCCCTTCTTTTAACATTTCCTGTTTCTTCTCTTTCACCTCTGCCTTGGGGCAACCATTGGCCCCTATGACTTGCTTGGCCAGACTAAGAATTCCAGATTTTAGAGGTTGCTAATATTTGTTCAGACAGGGTCAAGAAATCAAGGACAGGCAACAACAATTCTTTTCCTTCCAAGGGAGAGTTGTCAAATTTGGGCCCCCAAGCCTGTGATTTATTGTTGCCCCTAGGATCAGTTTTACAGTCTTATGCCTGGTTCTTTAATGGTTTCTTTAAAGGGCAGATGCCTTTATAAGTGCCTCCAAGTCATAAGTAATTGATCATAATTATAGGCCCTCCCCACAGATAGTTAAGCCTCTAAGCTAGCAGGAGTATAATAAACATATTAGTTTTTTCAAAAGTTGGAGATTTAATTTTGATGGATTTGCCAGAAAAGCTACCTTGTTATTGCTGGCACTAGCACTGCATACACAGGGATAATGACTTGGAATTCTTGCTTACCTGTACTTGATATATCCCAGGCCCAGACTTGATCAGCCAGTTAGTGTCTGGGATGTAAATTTGCTCATATTTTACAGTTGGTAATCCCAAATCCTGGAGCCTTTGCCAGAATCAGACTTCAGTATGAATCTATATTGGAGCTTCTGCACTCCACAAATGAATCCTATTTTACATCCTGAACTAAAGAATATATAGAGAGAGATAAAATATCATGTTTTTTGAGTAGTCTGTTCACGCACCAAATATTTATTGAGGTCCTGCTAGGTGTCAATCACTTCTAGAAGCTGGGGATATGGCAGTGAGCAAGTCATAAAAAATCTCTACACTTGTAGAACTTACCTTGTAATGGGATGAGCAGTTCTTTTTTCTCTTTGAAAATTCACCTGTCTTTATTTTGATTGCCTTATTTGGCTATACTTAACCTAACCAGTTTTATAGGGCAACTAATGCTTGTGATAATTTGGTACGAGGAATTTGCTGATTGAATAGGCAAGATAACTAAAATACTCATCAGAATCAAATACTTTTTGAAGATTAAATTTCACCCTAGGGATGTACAAATTGATATATATAAGAAGGCATTTGACATGTAACTAATATACGTGAACATTTGAGTTCCATTTATTCAAGTATTTAAGAAGGATCTCCTCTTTCAAAACATTGGGGTTAGATGCTAGGAAAAGATACCTGGGCAAATCACACCTTGCTTCTCCCCTCAAGTAGCTCTCCTGTGTTTGAAGGAATAAGATGATCACCGTAACTCTGATACATGATAGCATCATGTCTTTTAAGAGAGATACAGGTAAATGCTACCTGTATCGTCCCCAGGGATTAAATGTATTAGTGTAGCAGTGTAAGTAATTAAAATTCAAGTATCGGTTCTGGAAACTAAAAGTCATTGAGTATCAGTAAACAAACTTGTCATGTCTAAATGTCTAAATATATTAAGTTGTTATTATTAGAATATTTAGTCACTGCTTTAAAAAAAAAAAAAAGACCACACAGCTCAATGATTATTCAAAGAGACTTTTCTGACTTTCTCATTTTAAAGATATCAGTAATATATAGCATAAAAGGAGAGTGAAGATGTGCTTTTCTCTAGAAAAACCTAATCATTAACAGGGTAGAAGAAACAAGGCATTATTGCTTGACTCATGGAAAGCCAGGTCTTCAGATGGGTTAGTTCATGGGAATCCTGAATAAAAATGTTATTTTGTGGTTGAATAATACATTTATTAAGGCTCGTGTCAATGAAAGCAAGAAATGCAGGAGTTTAATTCTTTTAAATTTCAGTGTGTTAAAAGTATGTTTGTTCCTTGATTCTGTAAGAGTTCTTTGAAAAGTTTCCAATTTATCAAGGTTGTTTAGTAAATAAACATCTTCACAATGATGTTCTGCACATTCCTTAGTCCTGCAGAACTTGATAATGCTGAATTTTTGACATTGCAGTTGTATCCTTTTTATACAATTATTATCAACATGGAATTATTAGGATTTCTCCATGGAATCAAGGAGAAAATGGTCTCTAAGAGGGAAATGTAAATTAAATAACTTAGGGGTATTTTCCTATGTTTGAAACATGGGCAGATGAGTATCTATGAAAATGGACTCCTAGTTAAAAGTAAATTATTCCTTTTTTTCAAAAGAACATGCCTCACTATTGATGATTCCTTAGAAATGTTTTTTAAGAAGGAAATACCCCATATGTACACTATATATTTGTAAAACTATGGCTATTAGGATTGGAAGACACTTTGTAAATCTTTCAGTCCTTTTATGTTACAGATAAAGAAACTGAAGCCCATAGGTCAAGTAACTTGTCTATGATGCCATTTTAAAGTTGTTGACTTGTTCTTAAATCTGTGTAGTCATTAAAAATTTTTGTTTATTTGTTTGCTAGAAGAAGTTAAATCAAGTGGGCACATTTCTAGTTTGGAAAAAATGAACTATAAGTAGGAAATGATGATGGTTTGCCAGGAATAAATGACATATCAATTAGGGAATTCTTGAATTCTGAAGTATGCCCTACTGAAGTATGTCTGTGAAAAAGTATGATGATTATTTTATTAAATTCTGCTTTTAAAGAATTTAGGTTATAATTATGACCATTTAAGTGGCTATAGTTAAATAATAATCCAGATTAATATAGTTAAATAGTTTAGTAATAATATGGAATTTATTTTAGACAAAGAACAGTAGGG